CCTGTCATCCCAGCTACTCGGGAGGCTGAGGCAGGAGAATGGCATGAACCCGGGAGGTGGAGGTTGCAGTGAGCCGAGATCCGGCCACTGCCCTCCAGCCTGGGCGACAGCAAGACTCTGTCTCAGAAAAAAAAACGAAGGGAAACAGAACGGTCTGATGAATGAATAGTTTGGGCTAAGCTCTTTTTAGCATCATTATTTACTGTGAAACTAAGCAAATACTTACGGGTTCTGCTTGTTTCCGTACAACCCGCGTCTGTCCCCAGCTGGCTGTATAAGGAGGCCACGGTGCAGGACGTGGACGTGATCCCTGAGGACGGGGCGGCCGACGTGACGGTCATCATCAGCGACTCGGCCTACGGCAAATTCCGGAAGCTCTTTCCAGGATGAGCGGACCCCCGCGGAGGCCTGGGGAGCTGTGGCGTTGCTGCTGTGTGTCGGGTGCAGCCGGGTGCCCCCTCGCTGGCTCTGGGCCCGCCTTGTTCCCAGCCATTTGCTGGGATGAACGCGCAGGCTGGTGTCACGGCCACGGCGCCCCAAAGCGGGTCTCGCCCGAGCGTCCACTCCACACGATTCCAGCGGGCCCTCGGTGCCTGCCGTGAACTGGCTTCCCTCGGAATGTTTCCGTAGCAGGACATTAAACCGTTGTTTTGACTTCTGTGAGCGGCGTTTCCAGTTCCTCCTGCACCTGCCGTGAGCCGTGGCCCTGGTGGGCACCGAATGGCCCCTCGGCCCGGCTGTGTTCACACACGGCCTCATTTCCCATGGTGGCGTCAGGGAAATGACTAAAAATGAGGTTTCCCGGCAGCACAGAGAACCGTTCCACAAAAGTAGAAGGGAAAGAAAAGAGTTTTATTAAAGAAGAAACTTCAAACCAGACCAGGACGTGTGTCACAGACCATCCGCTAACAGATGCAGGGAGAATTTCACCTGCGTGTGGCCAGGCCGTCCAGCCGTTACACGTACATTCGCCGTCTCCAACAGGAAAACAAAACGCCTGGTGTGTTTTGTTTTGAGACAGCCTCGCTCTGTCGCCCAGGCTGGAGTGCAGTGGTGTGATCTCAGGTCTCTGCAACCTCCGCCGCCCGGGTTCAAGCGATTCTCCTGCCTCAGCCTCCCGAGGAGCCGGGATAACAGGTGTGCGCCACCACACCCGGCTAATTTTTGTATTTTTAGTAGAGACGGGGTTTCACCATGTTGGCCAGGCTGGTCTTGAACTCCTCACCTTGTGATCCACCCGCCTCGGCCTCCCAAAGTGCTGGAATTACAGGCATGAGCCACCGCGCCCGGCCTGAATTAACATTTTTTTTTTTGGAGACAGAGTCTTGGACTGTTGCCCAGGCCGGAGTGCAGTGGTGCAATCTCGGCTCACTGCAACCTCCACCTCCTGAGTTCCAATGATTCTCCTGCCTCAGCCTCCTGAGTAGCTGGGATTACAGGTGCACATCACCATACTTAGCTAATTTTTTGTGTTTTTAGTAGAAAGAGGATTTCACCATGTTGGCCAGGCTGGTCTTGAACTCCTGACCTTGTGATTCGCTTGCCTCGGCCTCCCAAAGTGCTGGGATGACAGGCGTGAGCCACCGTGCCCGGCCACCATACTCAGCCTCACAACTTGATTTTTTAAAACCTCTGACCTGAAAAAGGCGCCCAGTGAATTAACTTTTCCTTTTTTTTTTTTTTTTGTTTTGACTTGGAGTCTCAGACTGTCACCCAGGCTGGAGTGCAGTGGCGCGATCTCAGCTCACCGCAACCTTTGCCTCCCAGGTTCCAGTGATTCTCCTGCCTCAGCCTCCTGAGTAGCTGGGATTACAGACACCTGCCTCCATGCCCGGCTAATTTTTGTATTTTAGTAGAGACGGGGTTTCACCGTGTTGGCCAGGATGGTCTCGATCTCCTGACCTCGTGATCCGCCTGCCTCGGCCTCCCAAAGTGCTGGGATGACAGGCTTGAGCCACCGCGCCCGG